AGGATCCTTTCGGGGCTCCAGACTTGAACTCCAAGGATTAGGCCCAACAAGGCCCACAGGACAGATGAAAAGGAATTTCAATGCTCTTGACTTCTTTACACTGCTGCTTTTCAGGGGAGGGAGAGAGTAGTTAAGGTGTTCCGAGTTGGGACATGAAAATTTATAGACCAGAGAGCCTTCACTTTGCTTATTTATTCAGCCCAGGTGGGACCCTAGATCCCAACTGCCAGAGTTCGAATTCTGATTCAGCCACTTAAAACATGACCCCAGGCAACCTAAATCACTTTTCTTGCTTCAGTTTTCTCATTTGTAAGTAGGGCTATTAATAGTGCCGACCCCATGGAGTTATTGTAAGAATTAAAGGAACATCAACATTTATCTTGCCATAAAGTTGGCCACTTTATTCTTTCCCATGACGAAGCCTGAGCGGTCTGGGCTGGTTGCTTTACCCTTGCAATCACCCTCCTCCCTGTCCTCTGCGTGGCATCTGTCGCCAGCATCTTGCTGATCCGTCTTTACAGTGCCCCTGACAACCACCTCTTTTGTCCATGCCCAGCACCTCCTGTTTGGGGCCCTCATTGCCCTCGGCGAGACTGTTACAATCGCCTCCTAACTGGTCCCTTGTCTCCATCCTTCACAGAGTTGTCAGATCGATCTTCGTGGAACACCGTTCTTGTCATGTCACTGGTCTGCTCAAAAACCTTCAGTGGCTCCTAGGGGAGCAAGCTCGAAGCCTTCAATGTTTGTCCTCCACTGTACATCCCAATTGGACCTTCCAGACCAGGGGTGGGCAAACGTTTTGACTCGAGGGCCACAATGGGTTCTTAAACTGGACCGGAGGGCCGGAACAAAAGCATGGATGGAGCGTTTGTGTGAACTAATATAAATTCAAAGTAAACATCATTACATAAAAGGGTACGGTCTTTTTTTTTTTTTTTTTTTTTTTTTTTTTAGTTTTATTCATTTCAAACGGCCGTAGTTTGCCCACGGCTGTTCCAGACTCTCTCACTCCAAGCCCCTCCCACCTGTGTGCTTGGCTCCTCCCAACTCAAACCCTTCTTACCCCTGTGCACTTGCTTATGCCGCCTTCTTCCCAGACTGCCCTCCTCTGTGCTCAGCCACGCTCGCTCGACCATCCTTCCTGGTCCAGCTTAGATCCTGCCTCCCCTGCAAGTCCTCCCGAAACCCGGTGGCACTAACTCTACCGTTCACTCAGCCCCAGTGTGCCCTGCGGTTGCTCACTCTTTTCATGGGGACCTGACCCAATTCTATCGGTTCATGCTGCCATGGCAGGGCAGGAGGGTGGATTCCCCACAGCCCTGGCACGGTGCTGGGGGCAGAGAAGGGGTCGATAAGTTTGTGTTGGTTAATTGACTGGGGGAGGGCCTGGGTCAGCTGCTGTCCCTTGGCATCTCTGCTTGCCAGGTCCATGGTCCCTGACACATCTTAGTTGGCACTTCTTCTTTTTACTCCTGGCTGTTGCTGTTTTATTTTAGTCTCTGGAGCAAGGGAACCCGCAGCCTCCCTCCCTCCACCAAAGAAAGGGAAGGGATGAGATTTGCCGGGAGCAGCGCAAGTCTGGTCAGTGAGCTCTGCAGCTAATGCATGCGTGTGTGTGTGTGTGTGTGTGTGTGTGTGTGTGTGTAAACTGGGGCGAGGCTCAACCCTCTCTCCTTCGGCTAGTCCTTCTGCCCTCTGTCTGCTTCTCTAATGCTCTTGCCCTCCAGAGACCCCACCCCACAAGATGAGTAGGCCCGCCTAGGGAGAGGAGGGAGAGGAAGGAACTAAAGGCCCACCTGTCCTTCCTGCTCCTGCTCCTGCCAACTCCTGGAGCTGCGAAGGGGAAGGGCTGTCTTGGGTGGACATGAGGCTCCCCTGCTGGTGAGCTCAGGAACAGCTGGGATGGGCCCTGGCCGGTGGTTTGAAGGATGCAGTCCCCGAGGGCCTGGAAAGTGTGTCCGAAGCTTAGCGCTTTTGTTCACACCTGCTGACCCTCCTTTCTCCCGGGACTCCCTGTTGCAAGGTATCATAGGCTTGATCCTCTACCAAGAAGTCTCTGTTTCCCTTGAACTCCCATAGCTTTTCCCTCTCTGCTTGTTGGTTGTCACTTAGGTTTTATGGCTTATCATGGATTCCCAAGTCTTCAGGATTCAGGGGAAAGAGGTGACATTTCATGAGCAGCTACCTATGAACATCTAGGTGTTTGACTAGATGCTGTGTACCGTATCTCATCTAAGCTCTACAAGGTTGGGTGTTTCTAAAATCCCCATTTTATAGACTAGACAACTGTGCCAGCGAGATTAAGTTCACTGTGACTAGTAGGTGTTCATCTGTGTTTCTTCTGCAGATCCTGGCCGGGCGGGGCAGGGGCACTTACAGGTACCAGATGCTGCTCAGAAAATATCTATGTGACACTTGGAATTTGCCACATCTAAGGGCAGCTCAGGTTGAGGGTTGGGGTTGGTAGAAGAAGGTAAAGTGGGAGAGGCTTGGATAGACAGGAGGAAAGACAGGGCCCAAGGTCAGAGTGCCCCAGAGCCACCATAAGATGAATGTTGGTCTGGCCGGTGTTGCCCACTGTCCTTGTGATGGCTGGGTGACACCGAGTCCCGGAAGTGCCTCAGCCAGTCACTTCCTGCTACCAGCTCCTCCCCCTCCTCCCCGCACCAGGAGGAATTAGTGGGAACCACCCCTGGGAGTCCCCTGCTGCTTTCTCAGCCCCTTCACCAGAAAGGGGTGGGAACAGGGCAGAGCTCCCAGATGTTTCAGAGGGTTTTCCTCCTGATGCCCAGCCAGGGTGAAGAGTCATTAAAAAGGATTTTTGGAGGAGGGAGAGGGATGTGCTGAGCAGTACCTTGGGACTTTGGAGGCGGGCCCTTAGAAGAGGGAAGAGCTGCCTGGGTTACAAAATGTGGGGGTGGAGGATATCTGGGCCACCGGAGGGTCCCAGAAGTAGGGGAGGGGAGGGAGAAAGTGCATATAGGACAGGCTCCCAGCCTCTGTGATTCCTGTTGGGTTCCAGTCCTTTAGCCTACACTCTCCTGGATTTTCTGAAGCCGGTTCCTTAAGACGCCTAACGTTTGGGAAGAAGCCAGGAGACCCTGTCAGATGTAAACTCATTTCCTTGAACCTGAGAGGAATGACAGGAGGGCAGCCAAACAGGGCTCCCCCCAGCTCCACACCCCAAACCCTCTTGGCAGGTCCAACACTAACAGGCGGGGCCCACGCCTTCAGGACACCTGTCAATGGCCCGGGGCCCAGGAGAGCGAGGGCCGACGCCCCAGGATTCGCCAGGTGAGAAGAGGCGTTCGGAGGAGCCCTGCGGACCGAGCTTCCCAGGCTGGGGAAGCCGCGCGCCCGCCAATCCGCAAGATGGAAGTTGCTCCCTCTAGCTTTCCCACCGGCGAAGGCTGCTGGTGTTGTGAGCGACCCCTCCCTTCACGCCCAGATCGGTTTCTAGCCCTCGCTCTTCGCTAGAGTCTTGTTCATTTAAAAACGCATCTTAAAAGGCGCCGCCAACGGCACCTGGGATCGAGCTCAGATCCGAGGTTGGGTAGGGCGGAAAGTTTACGAGGCGAGGCGCGTACCCCACCACCGCACACGGGGTGCGCGCGGAGCTGCGTGAAGGAATGTGTGCGCCGAGCCGAGGGATGCAGGCAGCGCTCACCTAGCTAAGGAGGTGTCCGGAGGGAGCGTGAAATGGGGTGCCCGGCGTGCGTGGGTGTGTGCCTCCGCCGCCTCCGCCGCCTCCCCCGTCTTGCCGGAACGTGTCTGCAACCTCACATCTCCTTCAGCCCTTTCCCAGCCTGACGCTTCCTTTTTGGTGTTTCTGCGCGTTTATTGTAAATTCCGTGCCTAAAACACGCCAGTAAGCCCGGCCCATCGACAGATGGATCAATCGCCCCCTTCCCGGCTGGGGGAAGGGGACCCCACTCGGAAGCGGGGAGCTGCCGGCTGCCTCGGGAGAGCTACCTACAACCCAGCCAGCCGCCACGCGCGGGCAGCGAGCCTGGCGCCGAGTCCTGGCCGGGGCGGTCTTGGGGCGCTCCCGCCGGGGTGGGGTACCGGTCCTCGCCGGATCTCTTCGGCGCGGTTCGGGCAGGATCGCCGGCCTCGGAGGCCGTAGCGAGGGCGTCTGGGCGCAGCATTTTTCTGCCCGCGCCGGGGCGGGGAGACATTGGGGAAGGGTCTCAAAGGGCTGCGACGATGGGTGTGCGAGGGGCCAGCGCGCTGCGGCCCTGCGGGGAAAGTTCTCGCGCTCCGCGTGGAGATCACACGTGTGTGCGTGCGAGGGGCTAGACCCGGCCGGCTGGCCTCGCGGGGACGCCGGCGGCTGGCGCTCTAGGGGGTCCTCCTTTTCCACGGCGCCTTCGGGGAGACGCTTGGTTTCGGTTCCCTGGCCAAGGACGCATCCGCCCGCCGAGGGTGCAGCCTCTTCCCCAGACCCAGGCCACCAAGATGGGCTTTTTCTAGCGCCCCTCCCCCAGCCCCTGGGAGGCTCGGGTGCTCTGCACTCCGCGCCCTCCAGCCTCCACTCTGCCTCCCCGCGCGTCCGGGACCCGGTGGCCGAGTGGGCGGGGCAGGAGCCCTAGGGGTTGGAGGGCGAAGCCTGCCCAGAGGGGTGGGGCGCGCGGCGGGGGGAGAAGGCGGGCGAGGAGGCTCGGGGGGGTTTGCGCCGCAGCCCGGAGTCGGTCAGTTTTCGGCCGGGGCGGCAGGTCAGTCCCGGGAAGGGCGGGGGGCCGAGCTCTCCTCTCGGCCTGCGTTCCCGGCGCCACCGCCGCGCCGCCGCCGCCGCCGCAGAGTGTGGTTGCTCCGCCGCGCGCCCGCGCCCCGCGCCGCCGGCCGCCTGGGAGCCCGAGCGCCGAGCCCGGGGCGGAGGAGAGGGGCGCGGGCGCGAGAGCCGCGGCGAGGGAGCCGCGAAGGGGGAAGGGGGCGGGCGGAGGGAGGAGCGGGAGAGAGGGGGAGGGAGGGAGAGGCGAGCGAGGGAGAGCTGGGCAGAGCGAGCCAGAGCTAGAGCCCGAGAGGAGCGGGAGGGAGAGGGAGGAAGACGGACGCACGCCGAGGCTCGGGCGCCGGAATTCCATTAGAAAAAAGTGAGCCGGCCGAGGGGTAGCGGGAGAAGGTTTTTTGAAAATTTCCTTCGTCTGGAGCGAAAGAAGCGACTCGGGTCTCGCGCCCGCCAAGCTCTCGCTGGATTGCTCCCTGGCGCTTGCCCACGTCGGTGGATTGCTCTCCTCTTTGCGTTTTATTCTGACCCCCACCCTCGCCGCTGCCTTCCAACCCCCCGCTCTCCCGGCGCCTCTCGCCCACCTCCCCAGGCCCCTCCAGAGGCGCACGGGGGATCGGATCGCGGGGACCCGCGCTCCCGGGCCGGCGGAGGGACAGCAGAGCGCAGGACCGCTGTCGGCGGGGAGCAGCACCCACAGACACACCTGTGCGTTTCATTCCAGTGGGCGAGGGGCGTCGAGCGGGCCCGCCGCCTTCTTCCCCACCCCCTCCGGCCAGGGGCGAGAATCGCAGCACTCAGGATCTCCATCGGGCGGACTCGCTGGGATCTCCGCATTGGATTTGGGGCTGATTTTCACTGCTTGGCTATATTATTGTCATTTTTTTTTTTTTAACCCAAGGGAGAAAGACAAAAACACAAAACTGTGGGATTTATTTAACATGATCTTGGCAAACGCCTTCTGCCTCTTCTTCTTTCTAGGTGAGTACCTGCGAGCGGCGGGGGCAGCGGGTCCGCGGGAACCAGGGGGCCTCGCAGGCGGCGCGGTCGGGCGCCTGCGAGCAGTCGGGGACGCGGGGGACGAGCGGGGCGCCGGGAGACTGGCGGGGCGACCGGCGGGAGAGCGCGCCGCGGAGCGAGCTAGCCAGGCGCTGCCCGCCCAGCCGGGGCCGGGCGCGAGCCGTGGCTGTCTGGTTAAGAGCGGGGATTAAGAAGGAGACTTAGAACACCCAAGCCATCCCCGCACGTTCGTCTCTCTCTCTCTCTCTCTCTCTCTCTCTCTCTCTCTCTCTCTCTCTCTCCTCACTTACACAATGATGTTCTCATTTCCCTCAAAATAATGGGTTCAAATTGCGGCAACTTAAGAAAAACACACACATAACCGCCCCCCACCCCCAACTCTTGGTCTGGAAGAGAGGAGGGAGGAGAAAGGCTCAGCATGGGGAGAAAAATCCAGGGTCCCCCCTTTCCAGGCCCCCAGAATGGATTGTGGGGGAGCCCATGGGTTTCTCCAGGAGATCTTTGCTGGACTTTTTTGGGTGGGGGGCGCTGGCAGCCATCCCCCACCTGCCAGTGAACCTCTGGACGATGCACCCCGTTTCCAACACCCTGAACCCCTTCCCACAGATCTCTCCCTGGAAGACTTTTCAAGTTTCTCCCCACCCTTTGCCCTCCCTGCTGCCCAGGCCCAGCCAGATGGGGAGGCAGGAGTAGCCGGCTGGGAGCCCTATCATTGCTTTGCCTTCCTCACCCTGGGGGCCAGGGACCCTATAGCTAGCTGGTGGGAAGAAAGGGAAGGAGGCCAAAGTTTGCTTCCTTGGATGATGGAGGAGAGAGCCGTGATGAAAAAACGAGATCTGAACAAAGACCACTACTCATCCTGTAAGCCCCTTCCCCCAAGGGCAGGCAGGAGGGGCTGTCTGGTAACCCCGACCCTAGGCAGCCTCATTCCCACCCAGAATTCCCAGCCCTCACCTCCTTTTATGCTATGTGGCATCTCAGCTGCCTGGGAAGTGGGTGTAGAGAGAGCATTCTGGGAGTGGAGGTGAGGAAAAGAGAGTGTTTGCAAGTGCTGACTGGGAGTCCCAGGCAAGGCTGCTGTCCAGAGCAGGTGCTCCAGGAGGGAGCTGGTGACGTGTGTGTGTGTGTGTGTGTGTGTGTGTGTGTGTGTGTGTGTGTGTGTGTGTGTGAGAGAGAGAGAGAGAGAGAGAGAGAGAGAGACACACACACACATTTGCTTCAGTGTGGGTGCTATTCCTGCCACCCTGGCCAGCTGTGTGATGAGCCAGGCTGGGTCATGAGTGCACCTCCTGAAGGAGGGGAGGGGGGAGGCCTGGCAGGTAGGTGCTGGTCTCAGAAAGATGTGGGTGGTGTAAGTGCCTCCTGACCAGGACAGGGGATTTCAGTGAAGATTGGCCCTGGGCCTTTTGTCCACCTGTCTTCTCCCCCTCCCCCAGCATGAGTTTCCCAGGGGGCTTGGCCCTGCTCTAGGGTGTGGCCCTCACCTTCCTGCTGCCCAAACCAGAGACTGCTTCTCTGCAGGTAGGAGGGGCTGAGGCCGGAAGCTGGGTCGGTGCTCCGGGTTCACTGAGTGCCTGCATCCAGTCCCGGCAACCCTCTGCCAGTGGACTCTGTTTCTGAAGGGGCCATTCTAAGACCTGACCTTTCTCCACACTGGTTTGAAAAGCCAGCTTTCTGGGCCAAGAAGAAAAGAAAACTGTGTTTTGTGGAAAAGCCATTAGGTTGCTCACTGCTGCTGCACCCACTCCAGGCCCGCAGGACTCCCAGGCGTAGGCACTCTAAGGTCCGGAGTGGAGGAGGGCATAAGGGACCCTCAGGCATCTCCAGGCCCAGACCCCCATGCTGCAGGCAGGCCTTTCCCAGCTGGGAGGGCTGCGGAGGTGACAGTGTTCTCATGGTGCAGGTGTGGGTGTGTGGGTATGAGGGTGTGCTGGTCAGAGATGCCCACCCTGGTGCCTGCGACCTGGGGGCTGAGTGGTGAGAGGAGGGTGAGAGGAGGGTGAGAGGAGGGTGAGAGCCGTGAGAGCGGTGGGGCCAGCAGCCCCTTTGGTCAGAGCCAAAGTTCCTTTCCCCTGAGAAGCCCCTTTCCAATGCTGGGCAAGGGGTTAACTGAGTGACCACAGAACATTGCAGAGGTCTGGGTGAGGCCAGTCAAGAAGGAAGGGATAGGTTGGTGCTAAGGAAACTTCAGCCCTAGGGCTTCTTTCTTGGAAAGGAGTTGGTTGGAAATTCCACTTGGGGGAGAGGTTTCCCTGGAGCTTTGGTTGGGAGCATGGTGAAGCATGTTTCCAGGAGTGGGGCCTTCCGTGTGCCCCTCCCAAGGTTCTGAGTGAGGTCTGCAGGGGGGAGGCCTGGGGGCCCAGCCATCCTGCCACCCAGTGCTGGCATTCCCAGGGAGATGAGTGATGGGAAAAGCCACTTGGGGGCGGGGTCTGGTCAGAGGGCCAACTTTACATTGACAACTCCTGTCTGGCAGGTACTCAATGCAGCAGAGTGCTATAGCTCTGTGTAGCCGCGTAGTACGCCCCCCCCCCCCCCCCGCCTCTAGAACAGCGGTTCTCAACCTGTGGGTCGCGACCCCTTTGGGGGTTGAACGACCCTTTCACAGGGGTCGCCAAAACCATCGGAAAACACATATATAATTACATAATGTTTTTGTGATTAATCACTATGTTTTAATTATGTTCAATTTGTAACAATGAAAATACATCCTGCATATCAGATATTTACATGACGATTCATCACAGTAGCAAAATTACAGTTAAGAAGTAGCAACAAAAATGATTTTATGGTCGGGGGGTCACCACAACATGAGGAACTGTATTAAAGGGTTGCGGCATTAGGAAGGTTGAGAACCACTGCTCTAGAAGCTCTCCCACACCTCTTTTCTGGACGGATCCAAGTTTCCTCTTGATCTAGAACTTGGGCAGGCCACCAGGATACCTTCTGACCTTTATTTTCCTGGAATTCTTGGCCCTGAGTTGCCATGATTTCCTTCCCTGGCTGGGATTCATTGCTTCAGGGGGTCATGCCGTCAACTAGAGGAGTCAGGGACAGGTGGCAGTCGGGTAGTTTGGCGAAAGGACGCACCTGGCCTCTGCTGAGCATCTCCCACCTGGTCCCACGTGCTCGCTGGCAGGATGGGGAAGCCCTTGCTTGGACACAGAGCCAGGATTCTGTAAGGATCTAGACCCCACTCACAGGGCAGGCAGGGTAAGTGTCCTTATTGCCCCAATCCCCTGGGCCTGTGTCCTGATCAGCAAGCCTGTGAAGGTGCCCCTTTCTCAGTCCACTTCAGATACAGTCAAGGTGGGAGGGGAGGAACCTGCTGGGATGCAGGGTTGACGATCAAAGTCAGTGGAAGGCCAAGGGCTGGGTTGGTCTTAAGGCTCCAGCTGGCTGGCTGGCTGGCTAGGTGGGGCAGCAGGTGCAAGTGAGGCTGGGTCAGCTCAGCTGCTCCTGGGTGGCCCAGATGCACCGAGTCCTGCTCAGGGATCTAGGAATTTGCTGAAGCCGGGAAATAAAGCAGATGCCCCACTATCCAGCCAACACTCCATGCTGGTTTCTTCTCTGGTCTGTCTCAGCCTGGCCACAGCCTTCAGCTCTCCCTGTCCTGAGGCAGAAGTGTGGTCCGCGGGCAGAGGAAATGTCTGTCACTCTTGCCCTCGAGGCCTTCTCCACTGCAGGCCCACCCTCTGCTCCTCTTCGGTGGCTGGTGGGTAGGCCTGGTCTCTCTAGGAGTGGGTTCCTCTCCCTTCTGGCTCTGTCGGGAGGAACCGGCTCTCAGTGCAGCGCTCTGCCTCTAGGTGTCGCTGTCTCCCTGCGGTAGCTGCCCCCTGAGCAGGGCTTCTCGGGGAAGGAGTGAGACCTGGCAGTAGAGATGGGGGATTCTTCGGATATTGAGGAGGGGACTTCTGGCCTAGGATCATTTTATGTCTCATGGCCGGATGGAGTGGAGGAAGACTCCCAGATCACGACTTGGATCTTGGAAAAGGCAGTCTTGGCTCTGGGCCACGTTACGGGCTTTTTCTGGGGCAGGATCTGGAGTGAGGGGCTTGGAGAGGACAGGGAGACCAGCAGGATGTCTGTGATAGATGCAACCATGTTAGGAGCTTGGTTTTGAAGGTCCCTGCCCTTCACCTCTGAATCTTCTTAACTGACGCCCCCTCTCCCAAGGGCTGTGGGTGTGGACCCTCTGGGCTGTGGACAGAAGCGGGGCCTCAGCTTCCTGCCTGTTCACTTTTGGAGAAGCCGGGCTCCATGTGTGAGACGAGGGCCGAGGAGGGACACACTTCCCCTTTTGCAATTGGCTGATCATTTGGGTTTTGGAAAGAAAGGAAAGACGGGGGGAGAGGGTTTCAGAGGAGGGTGGGAGGAGAGAAAAAGAAATAGGAGAGAGAGTGAGAGAGGAAATGATTTGCGTGGAGCATTTTTTGGGAGGGGCTGGGGTGTAGATTGTCCTGAGGAGGCACCATTTCGGGTCTTGGCAGCTGTGAAGTGGCCTGGGCGAGTGGAGGCTGGGCCGGGAAGGGGTAGCTCTTTCCTCGGATGTACCTCAGAGCACAGGATCAGGACTGTCTCCCATTCTCTTTCTCTCTTTCTTTCTAAAATGCTTTTTTTTTTTTTTTTTTTTAAATTTTCAATTACAGAACTCAGAATGAATAGGCTAGGGGTCCAAGAAGCCTTTTCAGCCTGTGTGTGACCTTCAGTTGTCATCGCCCTTCTCTGGGCCTCAGTTTCCCCAGGGTAAAATCTGGGGGCTGCACTCTGTGGTGTCAGAGGTCCTAACAGGCTATGAAAGTTAAATTGCTTTCTGCTGCTTACACGGCATAATCAGTGCTGTGGTGGGCCTCTGACTGGAACTGAAGCTGACAGGAGGCTTGAGGGTTATGAATGTGATCCCCTCTGCTCACCCCAGCCGGCCCTGCAGCCCCAGCTCTCTGCTGAGGCTCTTACATTGGCCTTCTGGCATGGGCCTTGCTCGAGGGCCTTCTGGCGGGCCCAGTGCTGAGGGTGACAGGGTGGAGGCAGCTGAGGATCTGATAGAGCCAGGGCAGAGGGCAGCTGCTTTCTCCGTGGGGTTTGAGGAGGAAGGTTGGTGTCTTAGGACCAGCAGCCCCTCCTCTGACCTGCTCTGTTGGGAGGTGGCACTGAGTCGGCCTTGATGTGCTCCGGAGGAAATGGGTGTGATTTCCAGAGGGTCCTGACCGACCCTCAGCCCTGCATCTTGTGTGGGAGACTGTGGTGGCCTCACTCATGCTTGTCTTCCCTCCCCACCACCCAGACGAGACCCTCCGCTCTTTGGCCAGCCCTTCCTCCCTGCAGGGCCCCGAGCTGCACGGCTGGCGCCCCCCAGTGGACTGTGTCCGGGCCAATGAGCTGTGTGCCGCTGAATCCAACTGCAGCTCCCGCTACCGCACGCTTCGGCAGTGCCTGGCCGGCAGGGACCGCAACACCATGCTGGCCAACAAGGAGTGCCAGGCGGCCCTGGAGGTCCTGCAGGAGAGCCCGCTGTATGACTGCCGCTGCAAGCGGGGCATGAAGAAGGAGCTGCAGTGCCTGCAGATCTACTGGAGCATCCACCTGGGGCTGACCGAGGGTAAGCCGGGGGGTGGCGGTGGTGGTGCGGGGTGTGGGGGCCCAGGTTCAGGGGCAGGACGGGGTAGTGGAGTGAACTGGCCAGCTCCTTAGCCCTCCTCGCTGGGGGAAACAAGAACCCAGAAGTAGCCTCCTGACCTGGGAGGCAGCTGAGGAGGAGAGAAGGCAGGGTGGTGGGAGGAGAACAAGGCTGGAGCAGGGGTGAAGGGGCAGGAAACACACCAGGGACAGAAGGACCTATGACCGTGTGAAGGGGTCACAAGAAAAGGTGAGGTAAGAGTCCCAGGCGATGGAGAAGTGAGAACAGGATAGAGAGACGGACCGGGACCGGCCCTGTGCCTGCAGAGCTGAGCTGCCAGCACACCAGCTCCTGCCACTCCCGCTGCCTGGGCACCCAGTGCGGGCTGCCCCTTCCCGCTCTTCCTGCTCCAGGAGACCCATCTTCAGTGGCTCCTGACCCCGTGGCTGGCCTAGGCACCTTCTGCAGGGCTTGGAGCAGTGTGAGGGCAGCAGGTCCATATTCCTCAGTAGGCCTGCCCCCAAGTCCCCAGGTAGAACTGTAAACTCCCCCCCTTCCCCATCCCGCCAAAGACTACCTCCCCCATGTCCTCCGCCTGCAGAGTGAAGTAAGGCGGATTTGCATACATTGTAGGAGGGTGGCCACCTGGGTCAGACGTTCATTTATTAATTCAACAACTGTTTATTGAGAGTTTACCACCTGGTACGTGTTGTGGAAAGAGTAAGGAACAAGCTGGGGCAGCCTCTGCCTTCGTGGAGCTCATAGTCGGGGGGTGCAGACAAGAGAGGGCTTTCTGTCATTTGGGGGTGTGAGTGCTGTGGGAAGCACTGGGCGCTGTGGGAGCACTGAGGAGGGGCAGCTAACCCCTTGTCACAAAATCTTGAGAGCCTTCCTGGAGGAGGCAGCCTCGCAGCTGAGACTAAAGAGTGAGCTGCAGTTACAGAATGAAGAGCTGTGGGGAGAGCGTGGGAGGTGCAGGGAGGGCTGGGCAAAGGCGGCGTGGGAGGGAGCGGAACCGCTTATGGACCCACAGGTGACAGTGTGCAGAGGGGCCGCGGGAAGTGGGTGGGGTGAGGAGAGGTGGAGGGTAGCGTTCTGCTGGGCGGCAGGGCGCCTGGGCAGTGTTGGTGAGACGATCCTTGCGCTCCGCTTCAGGGACGCTCATGTGTTTTCATGAATAGCGCAGACTGAGGGACTGGAAGGCGCCGTGTGACACAGGCCCGGGATCATGGTGTCCGAACGAGGACAGGGCAGGAAAGGAGGAGCTAAGAGCTGTTCAGGAGGTAGAACCCACAGGGGTTGGTGAAGGGAGCGAAGAGTCAAGGAGGCCGCCCAGTTTCTGTCTTGGGAGACTGGTGGGTGGGGGGTCCGGTGGCAAGAAGCAGCAAAGGTGTTGAGTGGGGGGAGGGCAGGGAGATGATGAGTATTTGGGGGCAGGTGCCTCTCCTTGGCCATGCCCTTCGGACAGCTGGGTGTGCAGGGCCGGAGCTCAGGTGGCAGGGATTTTGGAATCGCCATCAGCCTGTAAGTAGGAACCGGGCAAGGGAGTGGGTGCCATCTCCATGGGAGGACCAGCAGCATGTAAAGATGTGCAGGGAGGGAGGGGGCCGGCGATGGTGACGGAGGAGGAGGCTGGGGGAGAGCGAGGGGCAGCGGAAGACCAGGGAGAGCTTAGGAGTGCGCCAGTCTCCAGCCCTTTAGGTCCAGCAGAAGAGGGTGGGACAGGGTCCTGGGGCCCTGGGGTAAGCTTCTTAGGTGGCTGCTGGGAGCAGAAGCCTGGTTAGGGGGTGAGTGGGAGCTGGGGGGTTACAGATGATGTATGTGGACAGCAGCTCCTAGAATCTTGGTGTGAAGAGGAGAGAAGAACAAAGGATGACATATTTTTTAAGAAGCAAGAAGGTTGGGCAGTTTAAATTCTAAGGCAGGACAGTGTGATGGAGATGCTGAGGTGAAGGGGAGAGGGGTGCTCTGTGGAAAGTGCCTGGGAGAGGGGAGGGGCGGGTCCAGGGCCCGGGAGGGGTTAGGTTAGCCTTAGGTCAGAGGAGCAATCCTACCTCCAGGTGCTGGAGGGAAGGAGGAAACAGATCAGGTGTGGAGGCCAGATAGCGAGGGGTTCCTGACCAGTGGCCAAGATAGTTCAACTCTGCCCCGAATATAGCAGTAAGCTGTGCATATAATTATCAATAGCACCTCCATTAATAACAGAGTGATTCCTCGTGAATCAGGTGGCCATTCCTCCCATTTCTAGCAGCCTCGAGTTCTAGAACTAGAAGTGGGGCCCATGCACTGAGACCGGAGCTGCCTGTGCCCCAGGCTGACTCTAGCGCACAGAAGACGAAGGTCCCTGATTCAGTGAGCTGGGTCCTTTAGTTTCCTGTTTTATTTCCAGCAGCCTTCCATTTCAACCCCAGGCAGACTGGCAGCAGGTCGGGTGGGGGCTGCAGAATGCACGGGGGAGGGGACAGAATTGCCAGCAGAAGAGCCAGGTGGGCTGCCTGAGACCTTCCCAGTGAGGGGCTCCCTTTGGGGACTTCTGATTGGAGCTGGGCCCTGAGGTGTCTGGAGGTAACAATAAGCATTCCGTATGTTTATGCTGCGGACTGCCCTGTGGTCTGCCAGGTCCTTTTGACCCGGAAATGTCTGGCTGGAGACAGCTTGCTTCCAAATCTTGAGCTGCTGTTGGTTTATTTACTCAACGAATATCTGTTAAGCCCCTACTGTGTGCTTCAGAGGGTGATAGGAGCCACAATCAGTCCCTATGCCTGGTCCCTATACCAGCCAGCCAGCGTAAGGGCTGGGAGACCCTTCCCCTGGGCCCCATGCTTATCTTATTCCACAGAACCCAGCCCCCTCCAGCACTCCCCTCCCCCAGGATTCTACAATCTCCTACCCCCGGGTCTTGGGGCTCAGAGGTAGTTTCTGCTAAGAGCTGAGCATGGGAAGCCTGGAGGCCTTTTAAGGGCAGGTACAGTTCCTGTGAGTTAGAGGATCTATGTGACAGTTTATTATTCATGGTGTGGGGGAAGTGGTCCCCTGAGCACCTCCTCCCTGTTCCTAATAACATTGAGTAACCTGGCCTGGTCCCTGGGGTGGGTGGGCGGATGGGGAGAGGAGAGGCCTGTGCAGGTCTGGACTTTGGTTCTTGTCTTCTCTTTGGCCCCAGCTGGGGGTGAGAGTTCCCTGGGGGTCCCTCCTACTCCCTCTGCCTGAGGCTCAGGTCCTCAGCCAGCGGTGGTGGCAGGAATGTGGCCTCTACTAAGCTCCTAGAGCGGGGGTGGGGAACCTTTTTCCTGCCAAGGGCCATTTGGGTATTTATAACATCATTCGCAGGCCATGCAAAATTATCAGCTTACAAATTAGCCTGCTATATTTGGTCGAATATTTAATCAACTCATCCCTAATGCCTTGTGAGTTGGTTGAATGTTTAAAACCAGGGCCAGACCAAATGGTTTCTTGGGTCTTATACGGCCCCTGTGCCAGACGTTCCCCACCCCTGTCTAGAGAGTTCCAACTGCAAGGGATATTCAGCCCCACAACCATTTTGGTGGGGAAGCTGATGTGCAGGGAGGAGAAGTGGTACCCAGGGCACACAGCAAGCTAGAGGAGGGGCAGGCCTGACTCCTTATCCAGCCGCTTTCCAGTGCCCTGGGGAGGTCCTGTGGCCTGGGCCCGTCCTCCCTTTCATCACCACCGCCACCACCACTGCCACCACCGCTGGTGTTTACAGGGCGGAACTGTTGCTGTTGGACATCTTGCCCTTTTCAAAGGTGACAGTGAAGTTCAGGGCTACCCTGGTCCTTCAGACGCGAGCAGGAGAGACCTCTCCCAGGTCCTCCCAGGTCGTGCACACAGAGGCGCAACCAGCCCCCTTTTCTGGAGTCTGCAGCATAGCAGACCGAATGTCCTGATTTGGCTTCGGTCTGGCTGACAGGGATGCTCAAGTAGCCAGGCCTTGGGTTTCCACCGGTGAATTCTGTTGCCCTGAGAAGAATGGACTCCTCCCAGCCAGTCCTGGGAATAGGCCATTCCCTCCCCCTCGCCCCCCCTCCTCACACCCTCCCAGCCAGTCATCTGGCTGAGCTGTGCCCAGGTGTGGCGCTGCACCCCATGCAGCAGTGAAGGACAGGCCCTGCTCTGGGGGAGCAGGCCAGCTGGCGGGAGACGGATCCTGTTTAAGAAGAGCTTGGTTTCAATAACACTTTATTTTTGGGGACAGCATTCATAATGATTAAATACTTGGACCCCGTCACCAACTGCTTGGGTTTGAAGTTTGACTCTGTCACTTACCAGCTGTGTGGCCTTGGGCAAGTTACTTAACAGCTCTGTGCCCTTATCAATAAAATAGGGAGACGGATGGTGCCTACCCCATAGATAAATTTAAGAGGACTAAATGAGTTAGTACATCCACTTCCAGTAGGATTGGCACGTGGGAAGCACAGGATAACATTAACGTCATTTTTATTACCAAATACTTCCTAAGCTCTTACGTTATTTGGCCTCAACAACTAGCACTGGCTGGCAACCCTCCCCCAGGGAGTTTCTCCAGGGCTGGTGGGTAGAGTGGAGGCCCCAGGGGGAAGGTGGGGCTGGAGGCAGGCCTGAAGGGACAAGTAACGTTTGGGTGTTGCAGGGCCTGAGGGGTGCTCCCATGAGGTAAAGTGAAGGGTGGGGCCATTTCTCTAGGGGGAATGCACTTCCCGTGTTGTCTGTCGTGGGTCCCCTTTTCTGGAGTCTGCAGTACAGCAGACAGGAGGCTTTGTTCCACGTACCAGCAGGGGCTGGTTACGCCTCTAGGGTGACCTCATGGGCTGGCTGACCAAGCCCCTCACCGAGGATTCCCCGTCTGGATGGCAGGCACCTTCCTGCAGGAGGCCCCCATGGATGCCGCCCACATGGGGTCCCCTTAGGAAGGAGGAGCCTGTCCATAGCCCAGGGCCCTGGGTGGGTGGGAGCTCACAGTGTGAGGCTGTGGGTCATCACTATCTCCCTGGCCCTCCACTCACATGAACAGCCCGAGTGATTATTCATTGATTTCTTCTCACGGTAACATCTCAAGAGGATATTTCCTTCCCGTCAAGGCGGTGGCAGAGGGGGCAGGAGTCTGATGACGTGGTAGGGGGTCTCTAGGGCAGCCCTGTGCCACTGATCTCCTGTCACTCCCTTGCCTTGCCTTTCGCTGAGCTTCTAACGCACCCGAAGGTCTGAGAAGCCAGCAGGTGGTGGGCAGATATGTAGGGAGTCGAGGAGGGGGTCAGGCCAAGAGGAGCTGGGGTCAGGCCTCCATTCAGCAGACCTTGGGCCCTCCAGCCAGATTCTCCCGGCGTCATGGTGGGAAGCAGAGGTGCGATGGGAGAGGACGCTGGTGGGAGGGCTGGGAGATGGCAGGCCAGCTGCTGCCCCGAGGAGCTGTGTGATCACAGGCAGGTTGCTTCACCTCTCTGGGCCACCTCCACGCCCTGCCTTGTGAAATGAGGGCGTCGTACTGAACAGTGGGACCTGGCCTTCCCCAGGCTGTCATGGTTCCATCTCCCCAGGCCTTCTTTCCAGAGCATTCAGCAGTCCTTAAGGCAGGCCATGTCGGGGCACGAGGGAGAGTTAGGCAGCCTGACCTGCTCTGGGGGACGTCCACTCCAGCTGGAGGAGATAACCGGTCCCTGTGACACTCCAACTCTTCACTCATGACCTCCCCTTCGCTTTCAAAGGGGCCCCTGGGCCTGACGATGTTCTCTTTTCCAGGGGAGGAGTTTTACGAGGCCTCACCCTACGAGCAAGTGACCTCCCGCCTCTCCGACATCTTCAGGCTCGCGTCCATCTTCTCAGGTAAGTGGGCTGGTGCTGGGGCCTCCCGGTTCTCGTCTGGTCCCGGTGCAGCAGGTGGCGTCCTGGGCTGGCTCAGGGTCCTGGCCTGTAGCGCCAGCAAACCCCTGACCGGCTCTGAGCGTCAGATAGATCCTCATCTGTAAAAGGAGGCAGCATGCCCGCCCCAGGCTCTGCATGGAGCAAAGGGGTTATGGGAACTGCCTTGCTCGAGCCGGCCAGGCAGCAGGCCTCTGACATGAAACCTGCTGTCACTCTCCTCTTCGTCACCTGTCTTGCCCGATGGGTCCCTCTTGCAGTTCCCCTGCTCTTCTGTTCTAGTTGTTCAAGCTCTTTGTGCCTCAGTCTCCTCAGCTGTGCAATGGGGAGCATACCTTGGAGATGGCTGCGAGGTCTGAAGGAGCCAGTGGTTGTTAAGGGCTCAGCGTGCTGCTGGGTGAGCCTTCAGGAAGTGTGGGCTGTGGTTGTTGGTGTTCATGTCACTGCTGTCCATTCTGCTGTGGGTTCCCTACCCCCCCAGGGCTCCGCTCCTTGCACCCCACTGAGGGGCCTCTGAGGAAGGGCTCTGAGCCCCAGGGCAGGAGAAGGACCAGGTTAAACTCCAGCTTTGGTCCTTTCTTCCTGACCTTGTTGTTCCTTCTGCCATTTGGGGGCCCAGTGGGCCCAGGGCAGTCTGCCCCTGCTTGGGCACTGGGGGGTGGCTTCCGGTCTTGGAACTGCTCTGTGGGGCTGGGGTGAGCTCTCCTGGAGTCACCTGGTGCTAGAAGGTGGCAGGGTGGGCTTGTTCCCTGGGATCCTGTGCCCGGGCCCCTGTTTTCCAGCTGGTTTCGAGGCAGGATTTGAAGCCTTCTGGGGTGTCCTTGCTCTAAGCCAGGGTTCCTCACCAGCACCACTGCTGGTACGTGGGCCTGGGTAGATCTTGTGGGAGGAACCCACCCTGTGCATTTAGGATGTGGAGCAGCATCCCTGGCCTCTGCCAAGGGATGCCAGTAGCACCCCCTCCCCAAGCGTGACAACCCCAAATATCTCCAGACATGGCCTGGGACACATTTGCTGCCAGTTGAGAAGCAGTGCTCTAAACTGTGACACAAAAGACCTGTGAGCCCCCAAGCCCTTCCGAATGGAGAATTCTCTAGGACAGTGCTGCTCAAACATTTTCTCATTATTACCTCCTAAGGAGAAAAATTAATCCTCTCTAACTGGGGAAATAGTCTGCTTGGGCTGCCATAACAGAATAGCATAGACTGAGCTATTCATTCATTCATATTAAACAATATGAATGTATTATCTTACAGCGCTGGAGGCTGGAAGGTCAAGATCAAGGTTGGGCAGGGCTTGGTTTCTGGTGAGAGCTCTCTCTCTGACTTGCGATGGCCACCTTGTCACTGTGTCCTCACAGGGTGGGGTGGGACAGGAGAGTAGTTGGGGGTGAGTGGGAGAGAGAGAGAGAGAGAGAGAGAGAGAGAGAGAGAGAGAGATCTCTTGTTATAAGGCCACAGTCCTCTCAGATTAAAACTCCACCCTTATAACCTCACTCAACCTTAACTACCTCCTAAAAGCCTTCTCTCCAAGCACAGTCACATTGGGGGTTACTGCTCTTTGAGGGGCACAGTTTAGTCCATAGCAAGTGCCAAGAAATAAAGTGTTGTCAGACAGGGTTGAGTTCTGGAGGGCCACAAACCACTGTAATGTTTATTTTGTTTTTGCCAAACCAAGAACCAATTTTTGTTTCCTTGAGGGTGACACCACCCTCTCCTGTTGAGAATGCATGCTTCAGGGATTGAGACGGGACATTATGCATGTGCCTGGTGAGAGAAACCCTGGACACCCCTGAGAAGGGAGACACTGGCTAAAGGGTGACCATTTGGACATGCCCCAGGGCCTGGTGGTGGCGAAGGGCACGGAGGCTGCAAAGATGGTCTGTGCGTTGAGCTCCCTGGCTGGGCTGTCACCATCAAAGCCCCCAGGGGGGTAAGAACAGAGGTGTGGGGCTCGGCAGCTTGTCGTCTGGCTTGCCTGTGGGCACTGTGGTCAGGCTATAGGCCTTGCCCGTCCGACAGGCTGCCCTGGGTGAGGGGTTGACTGAGGTCTCTCCCAGCACACATTCTGCTTCTTACATTTTCTGGTTCGTGCTGGGTAGAAATCCACCCTGGACCACTCCTCTGAGACAGTGCTCGGGGGCACAGATGCAGGTGGAAGGTGTCGTTGGCATGTGGATGCTCTGGTGGGGATGCCCTGGCGGCTCTGGCATACCCCTTCCCCACCCTACAGTAGCTCAGGTACCAGCTGAGTTCTGCACGTGGGTGGGAGCCATTGGGTCTAACTTCAGTAAAGAAGCAGCTTTGGCTTAGTCCCTGAGGGTTGAAGGTCAGACGTCCTCATTTCAGTCCGGCCCCTGCTGCTCCCTGGGCTCACATTAAGTATCTTCTTAGCAGAAAATCTTTACGTAATGGACTTGACACTCTGTGGGACAAGGATGTTGACAAGATAAATGAGGAAATGACTAGGTCTGCAGCTCAATGAATCAGCTGCCTTCACCCGCTGCCCTGGATGCCTGGGCCCTGGGGACCGCTCCCTGCAGTGAGGGAAGGCTTCAGGGTCTGAAACAGCTCCCTCCTCATCACCCCCGTGGACTCTGCTCCACCCATTGCAGCTCCAGAGCTGGTGCACGGGTGGCTCTGTGTGGGGCGACTTGGGTGCATCTCTGGGTGAGGAGGCCCTGGCCTGGCCAGCCCAAAACCAAGTGGGCCATGGTGGGCTCAGCAGAGAGAAGGCTGGGTGGGGAGCAGGGAGGCCCAGGGTCCAGGGCATTCCCTGCCACAAGTCAGCGGAAGGGCTTGGGCAGGTCACTTCTGCTCCAGACCTTGCATTTTCTTTCTGAAGAAAGGAGGTGTGAACTTGAAGTAGTGCTCCCCAATCTTTCCCCATCGGGGTGCTCAGACCATGGCAGTATTGTTGGCACACTTGGATGATCAGAGCAGCTTGGAGCTCAGCGATTGCAAGCCCTTGCCAGGCTTCCCTGCCAGCAGAGGGGTCTGTATCTGGGCACACAGGTCACCTGCCTGTAGCTCGCTGGTGGGGAGGCCTGGCCTGGTGATCCAAGATGTTGCACGGATGCTTTGGGACAATAAGGCTGCTGCGTTAGGGCTGTGTGGAGCCCCTCCCACTTCCACACATGCTGTATGCTGCCCCTTGTCTTGGTGGCTCTCCTCCAGGACCTGCTGCCCCCCGCTGGGGCCTCAGGGGCTGTAAGAAGGATGCTGCTGTATCCTCTTCATTGTCTGAGAATTCAGGGCCCTGGTGCAGGGCATCCTTGGATGTGTGTTCTCCTTCTCTCTCGCCTTCTCTCTCTAATGGGGTTCTTGGAAAGTCCTACTGGGATTCTGTTGGCAAAGAAAGCTGCCAGGATTACCCAACCCTCTCTGATGCCAGAGGCCCTGGGGGCAGGGCTAGCCCTCTCCTCCTCCCTGCCCAGGGCAGACACAGGCCTTGGGCTCAGTGGCTGGATCAGGGATTCCTGGTGTCCAGTGAGTCCCAAGTCCAAGGCCAGGGGAAGAGCAGTCTGGATCCACGCTGAACCAGGTGACAGTGATGTTGGGGGCATCCAGTGTCCTGCCCCAGCCTTGTAGATGGGCAAGGAGATTCCATGGAGGAAGAGTGAGGTCTGTCCTCTTTCTAGCAATTCAAACTGCCCTTGGAAACATAAGCTGGAGTGTTTAGTGCACCTGGTGCGTGGGAGGAGTGTGTGGGCCTTGAGCCACACAGTGCTGGGTCTGAATCCCACCTGCTCTGCTTAGGGCTGTGTGACCGTGGCCTCGCTGTGGCCGTTCAGAGCTGTATGGCCTCTGTTTGTCCAGTGGGAGTGTGGCACCTGCTCACAGGGTAGATAAGGAGGATTCTATGAGAATGGATGCAGGGAGAGGGACGGCGAGTCATCCTCTCTCTGGCGAGGATGTTCAAGGCTGAAGTTGGGAGTCCCTCTGTCCCCGAGCTTCTGTGACCTTGGGGATACTGGATCCCAGCTGGTTTCACCTGGGAGGCAGGAGAGGCTGGAATAAGGTGGAGAGGAGAGAAAGGCTTCTTCGGGCAAGAAGAGGTTGTCCAGGCAAAGAGAAGTCACGGAGGGGCCATGTGGAGAGGGAGGGGAGCAGAGATGCCCTGTCCACCTGGAGGAAGGCCTTCCAGGTGAGGACGAAGGGCCCGGGCAGGCCAGGCAGTGGTTTTCCTCCCAGCCACGGCCATGCCTAAGGGACAGGAGAAGTGACAGGCAGTGGCTGGCTGGGCGGTCAGCAGGCGCTGCCTCCACATCCTTGGTGAGGGGCGGGGCCTCCAGCGTGGCACGCGAGCATTTCTGGATGCTTGGGCACGGAGCATGTTTATGCAAACATGTCCTCCCCTTTCTGTAGCTAGGAGGGAGCTCAGAGATCACCTAGGCCTGTGGTCGGCAAACTGCGGCTCGCGAGCCACATGCGGCTCTTTGGCCCCTTGAATGTGGCTCTTCCACAACATATCGGCTCTTCCACAAAATACCGACTTCTGTGCATGGGCCACAAAGTTTCAATCGCTCTGTATGTACACGCCCGCACGTGGTATTTTGTGGAAGAGCCACACTCAAGGGGCCAAAGAGCTGCATGTGGCTCGCGAGCCGCGGTTTGCCGACCACTGACAGGCTGACCCCTGCCCCTGACAGAAAAGGAAACTGAGGCCCCGAGAGAAGGTACAGACAGAGATGGAGGTTCAAATCCTGGCTCTGCCCTGCCCGGCATGTACCTGCACAGGTGTCTCACCTGGAAGCCCCGTGTCCTCTTGCAGGACGTGGGCAGGTAGAACAGCCTGCCCTCCAGGGTTTTGTGAGGCTGAGGGAGTACTCAGGGGGATGCTGGCCGGTGCCTGGCACACTGCACTGAACTGCCCCTGTGAAGGCCCCCTGCTGAGGGATCTCCCAGGCAGAAGGCAGGCAGGGCAGGGCCTGCCTGGAACGCAGCATTTGGGGAACAAATGCT